GAGCTCGTCGGGACAAGGTATAGAAATATTACTGACTATATTATTTGTTTACGCATTGTGAATCTGCTTAGATCAAGTCAAAACTCGAAACTCAAGCGTCGCCATGACACTAGGACAGACTAACCTAGCTAGTGGATGCGAAAGTAGTTATATATCCATCTCGATACTGCGCTGAAAATTGCGCTCCGATAGTCTCGGCACCGAAAAGGTATAGGCGTAGACTTACGTTAAATGTATTTCTACGGCCCACTTTTCTGGGCCGTTGACGCTCCATTGCCATTTTAGTGTCACTACCCACTGTGTTCATAACATAGATTGACCGTTCTGATAACGTAGAGGTCACTAAAATCGCAGGTTTTTTAAGGTGTCGGTACTACAGATTAGGTGGACCGCCAAGTCCCGTAAGGTAACAAGTCTACTCTTATATATTTCTCGCCGGTGGTCTCGGTTGCTGAATCTTGTAAGTCAAAAAACGCGGGTTATTTAAAAACGCACTTGTGAAATCAATGTACAGTTTTATGATTCTATGTATCCTTTGTACAAAATAATCCGTACAGATGAGGTCTGCGATTAAAAAAATGTTTTGTTGAAAATATTGGATGAGTCATAAATCACGTACACCGTATATGTATTAAAAATTACTAAGTTTAGTATTGCTTGAGAATATGTATCAAATTAATGTTGAACATGAAGTAGCCTCGACTGACAACATTAAGGGGTCATTCCACTATCACACCCTAAAAATGTGTCATATTTTAGGGATTTTTGTTGGTGGAATAAAACTAACTACTAGACTCAAAGTGTGTCAGTGTATTATTGAATACAAATAGTGAAAGCAAAATTGTTTTGAAATTCTGTTAAACTTAAGTTGCCAACTTAAGTTGTCCCTCGGTGGCAAATTGACAGAGTGATAAACAATGAATATAATGAAGAGATAAATGGTTAAATTATCAAATTCTTTGTAATAAATGTCGCCAATCTTGAGCTAAATTTACCTACACGTCGTGACAGAATAACATCATTTCTTAGCAGAAAAATGTTTTGAATTGACACCAAAGACGAATGATGGTTAAAATGTTATATAACTAATATTTTTATTATAAATGATTTTTTATTTTTGGGAATAAAAAAATGTCACAGGTGCTGAGATCTGAGGAGTAGGGGCGTTGTGTTACAATGAAATTTTTCACGTTTACCAAACAAGCTATTACTCATTTGATAGCTACACTGTACTAACTAAACTGATTAAGTGACACACGGGCACAATGTTTTAATAAGGTTTACAGATCCTATTAAGTTATTTGTGTCCTGTCAGGGTCACCAACGTGACCTATAAAACAAATAGTCTCATTACTTTTGGAAAAGATCACCTATGCACACATATTTCTGTGAACTATTGTACAGAACAACTGTTTTACAGAAAAACTATGATTTCAAAATATTCAAATTTAGAAGAAAATCATGCAGAGCAGTGACCAAATGATAACATGTCCTGCAAACATGTCTGCACCATAAAATAGATTGCAACTTTTAAACGGAGGTTCTTGAAAGAAATGTGGGTGTAAACTATATCCGATAAAAAAGAAATGTACCGATATAAATCGATATCTTTCTGTGATCTGTCAATCAAACAAACAGTCAGATATCAAACTCTTATCCGAGATTCTTAGTAATGTTCTGTAGGAGAAATCTGAAACGGTCACAGATCCCCTGTAAGGCGACACAGGTACATATGGGCTCTCTCAGTGAATGGACCAAATGATATAAATTATTTATAGTTTTCGACACCAGTGCGAAAAAGGGGGGGGGGTGGTCGAGGGTGTTCCGTTCCAACTGGGGTGCGTACCCGGGGGGTCCACTTGCATCAAAAGCCCCTTGAGGCACCCTCAACATATGCATTCTCACTCAACCGCCGTAAGCCCATAGAAAATTGATTCGTAAGTACCCCGGATTCCTGTCTGTCTTATGTGTGTTTTTAACACCTATCTCTGTTTCTCTGTACACACTTTCGACTGTTAAATTTTCAGACAAACACGACAAAGTGTGACATTTCGGTTTGCTCTTTTTGCATTAAAAAAGCTCAAATATTTGAAAACCTCTTCGAGAGTGAGTACCTGTTACGAACATTTTAAATTTCACTCTATACACTGTATTGACTATAGTGTTTCGGTGGTAGCAATATATTTTCCCAACGTCTAGCACTTCTTGTCGGAAATTGTACATGTACATTTTACAAAATTAGTGGAGAAGTCCGAAACTTGAACTGACATTTACCAATTCTTTTTCCCTTGCGTCATTAATTCCAATCCCAGATAGCACATATCACCTTGAAGACGCCCATTTTACGGCTATTTTATGTCTAAGGCTCCTTTAAGCCGTCTTCAAAGCGTCATTTCTTATCTGGGATTCAATTTTCCTATTTTATGAATCAATTATAAATATCGTTTGCCCGTTAGAGTTTGTTTTGGAGTGACAATACGCAATACGTTGTTAAAGTATTATCTAAAAAAAAAGTAACTTGTGTTCTACGCTTTTTTAAAAATCTAGAACAATTCCTAACGAGTGATGCGTAGCAAATTTGAAGACGGGCCCCGCAACGTGCACTGCGCCCCCCCCGGGTCCAATCTAAATCAATGGGCTTGTGGGTAATCGCATAATAATTACTGGGACTCCCTCTACTGCCCATCTGTCGCTAGCTAAGGGGTGTTCAACCCCTAGAAGTGGTAATAGGCACGACTACGGCTACATAGTCGATGAACATGTCCCAGCAGGTCCTATTCTTCTTGGGCACAGCAAGAAATGTCGTGCAGTGTCACTCGTCAGTCGTCACCTCTTTCCACATTTCCACCTTCTGTTTCACTACGCAAAAGTCTAAATATTTTATAAAAATTGTCTTATTTATATAGAACACAAACCAGATATGTAAATAACCATAATTTCGACAGAATACCGGTACATAATTTGCATTGTTTCTTATACGCATACTACAAAATTTATGCAAATTTTTCTAACATTTCTTTAATTCCTTACCTTTCTTGAAAATACATCAGAGGTTCTTGAGTAAGAATATAGAAAGTTTCAGTCCGAAATAATGAGACTAAAATACAATACGTTGTAATTAGAAGTATGGTGCATGGTAATTTTTGATAATTCATTGTAATGCAATTACTGAACAGTATGATATTTTTAATTAATGTGAAAATCGGAATTGTCTAGTATTATTTATATTAGTATAATTCTTTATTAATATCCTTTAGATTGGGATACCTACGATTGGAAAATTGTATGCCCTTTATGTAACAAAACATTATTATTTGTGGAAGTAATGGTAGAATGTAAACACTTTTCCCAGAAAGAAACAATCTATGCATAACAGATTAAAACTTATAGTGAAACCGTGGGGATATCGGAGAAAGGATTGACTTACATAGTAAACTAATTTGTATAGAACAAACATTTTTCTAGTTCGGATACATGCGTGTGTAGATAAGGAAACAGAAAATCTGTTTGTAGCATCATATTTACCCCCTTGTATAATCTTCCTCTTTTTTTATCTGGAGAAAAATCACGTGTAAGGTAAAAGGACGAAAACACAGTTCTTCTTTTAAACAGAATAAAAAATTATAATTATTTGAAGTAAGATGGTAAGGAATACATACATTTCCTTTTAAAATAAAGTATTAACGAATAGTTAATGTAACAGAAAATGAATGTGCAGTGATCGTAGTTCGTTATTGAGATAAAAATCCGTAGCTTAATAACGGTCAACAATGTTACTGTTAATGAATAAGTCTCTTTAAAAAACCCGAAGAAAAATTTACGTACGGAAACTTGCACAATTATCATCGGAAATAAATTAGAGCTTGTGTTAAATTAAAAAAATAATAATCACCAATAAATTAAATAGAACTCACCCTTTCGAAAATTCACCTGCAGCTTGCAAACCTGAGTCACTAGGTCACTTTACCGATCCTGGTCATCGACGGACAAAACTGTTTATAATAGGATAACGCGCAGTCCACAGGTGATCGCAGGTATACCGCACCAGCCGAAGTTACGAGTCGTAACGTCAAGTGCGTCCGGGTTATTCCACCGCATATGTATTCACATCACTACACAACCATTGACACTGATCACCTGACACGTTCATTCCTCTTTCTGTTTTCATCGAGAAGAATCATCCTTCCGGAATAAATTTCTTACAGTTCAAAGAATCGTTTTTGCATTACTAAAAATTGTAAACCAATTCGTATTGTGCAAATTTCAGCTCGAAATTGCGATTTTAAAAATCCGAAAAAAATACTACCATATCCATTCAAGTGTTTTCGATAAAATAAACCTATCGGTAGGGTGATGCGGTTCATATTAACGCCACACTAAGCTATTAAAGACAGCGGTGCGCCCCGGTTCAGGTAAAAGAACTGAGCGCTTCGCTATTACGGTCGACTACTGTACCGCTACCACTCCAGATTATTTCAATGAGGTTAAAAACAATATCAAAGTGTCAATGATAATTTATAATTTCATGATTTTCTCTCGGTATTGTTTTTAACCTCATTGAAATATTTTTGAATTTGTATGTTTTTATAACGATCCAGCTCTTTGTCGTACAATATTGCGAACTTCTGTTTGATGTTGAGCGTATGGGTTTTTATGCTACACTGTTTTGCATGAACGTATGTATGTGTAGTAATATTGGATTAGGATAAAATCGGGGCAGCATTGACAATTAAACAAATAGTTTATATATATATATTTAAACACTGAATACTGACTCGCTAACTCTCTCTCTATATACAAGGTGTAACAAAAGTGTTGTAGGTTCCTGTAATGGGTCACCCGTGAGTTTTTCCTTAGCAAATATGTTATTAAAGGCATTTTTATTAGATATTAACGAAAACTCCCGACCAATCAAAGCGCAAGTCTGACGGCCGAGATGTAATTTCTTTTACATCTTTCAGGTATTGACACTGAAATGGTACAGGGGCTTCGGACGCCCTCGAAGCATGGGACAGAAAATTACATTGCAAACACCACAGGCTTTTTGCGCGTCGGTATAACAGTTAGGTGAGCCGTTAACTTCCATAAGGTGAAATGTCTACTCCTATACAATAGGAACTCGTTTATTGCAGGCTATTTTATTGTTACATAGAACACCCTTCGCTCACACGTATTTTTCACACACACGGGCGCACCCCAATTTGTCGTCCAACAAGGAAGAAACAGAGTACATACGGTGTCGCGTTTAATTCGCATATTTTCTGTCACAGAAAGTGTGATACATATAATATTGTTTCAATACAATGTTTCAATACTCAATAACTTCCGTGAATAAACATTTTTATATCTCTAAAAAAAATTGGTACTAACGATGATCAAACAATGTGTATATCCAGCTCGTTCTATATATGTAGGTACAGTAGATATTCGATTCCCGCACGAGTCGGGGCTGTAGAGTTGCCCCGAGCGCTGCAATAAACAAACTTGTACTGTACCTGGTCGATGTTTGCTAGTTTAGTGATAATTTTGCCCAAAAAATTCCTATCTTTATTCGTCCTAAATAATATCAAGTAAGTTCTACGTGGTTCTATGATGGTCAAATCGTAACTGCTATAATGTATTCTTTTAACGATAAATGATTTCGGTAATTTTGTTCTAATCTTAATTCGTGGTTTGGCTCATTATTTTGTTATTTAATAAAATTGTTGTCAAGTTATCGTATAATGTTCTAATATTTCACCGTGTTGTGTTGTCATGATAAGCGATCGAATGCTTCTGTACACCACTGTACATAAATTGATTATGTCAATGCTCGTTCAAAGTATAATCTCCTTGTAAAAGTACATAGGATATCAATAACGCATACATATGCGAACATATAAAAAATTAATAAGAATAATAATTGTTTCAGACGCACAAATGATAACCACGATTCTGATGAGTCTATGTGTGGGAGTTTCGAATGGGTTCCGTGGACCGCATCATCCCCGTAGCGCCGTCTCTCATCACCACTATACTCCACAAAAAAACGTCAAAATAACACAGGATACAAATCTCTTGCAGGATGCTAAGTTAGTTGACTATTATTTTACATTTCGCTGTCGTATTTCTATTTAAGAATGTCATCCACATTTTACTATGTAAACTGTATGGTTGAAATCAGTTCTTTATACAGGGTGAAGCAAAATAGGTGTTAAAAACAAAATAGGAATAAATAAGGTAGACAATCTTGAAAGTTGATTTATTTACTAAAAAAACATTGAAATATTAATGTAAAATACTTTCGAAGTGTTTTTTGGAAGTTTTTGAATGGTTGGAGAAAAATTGCATGATTGCTCTAGACTCTAGACCAGGCCTGTCCAAATGGTGCCCTGAGGGCTCATGACGCCCAGGCTTGCCACGACGCGGTAGCAATTCGGGTAAAGGTGGTTGTCACGGTATAATCAGTAAACACGAAGCTGTCTACCCTATGCACTTCACACACGTATGACGGCTGTTACAGTTAGCACACATCGGGAGTTCCTCCCTGACCTTGGTGCAATCCGAGGATAAATGCATCGCTGCGCACTTACGCTTGGCAATGGAGGCACTGAGTATACGGACAGTGGGAGAGAAATATTTCCCAGTAAATTCTAGTATAAAACAGAAAGCCTATGCATTTGACGACATTTAATGCGACACACCAAAAATGCCAAACATGGCGGATTCTGGATGAACGCACCATCACCTTCGAAAACATAGCCACCTTGTTATATGGGGTTGTGGTTGCTTGAATCGACCATTGTGCCTCCAGTGACCATAGCGTGTGGAGGGGCACCTTTAGACTTGTCGCCGAGTACAGTCTCGATGAATGCGACATACTCGGGTCCACTTTGGAGCGTTTATGGCATGGCGCAAAGGTTTTCAGACCCTCATAAATTTGTTTTTTTCCCGAAGCCGAACCTCTGCTTAGCTTCTGTTTACTCTCTTTCGATTAGTTTCGCAGGGGAACTCCCCCAGTGGTGGGAATAACGCCGTTGCTCGTGTCGCATTCATCGAGGAATCGCTGTATCTCGTTTGACGTTCGCGAATTTGTGAACTCCCGATGACAGCTCGTTCAGTAAGTACGTAACCATTTTTGGAGGAGGTGGCAGCTCAAATACATGAATTTCCTGCAGCACCGCCGCAAATTGGCTCGTCTTTCGTAATGTCGACGTCGGCGACCTCGTCATAATCCGCGAAGTGCTGTTGGCTATTTACAACATCATGAAAATTTATAAGAATGTGGCCTATGTAACGTCGTAATCCGAAATTGAATGTGTAATAGTTAATATTATGTCATTGTTTTAGTAAGATGCTGTATTTAGTATTATAACAAACAGTATAATATCAAGATTTATGTTTTATACGTACATATGTATGTACATATGTGCGTATGTGTCATTTGATTGTTATATCCGTTAATGTTTTCTAATGTTAATCTGTAAATCTGCAAGTATTTTATTTACTGTAGTCGATATCTCGGTGCTATTCATGTAGCAATCAATTTACATTCTGTAATTATTATATAATTTCAGTCATTTGAAAGAAGATATGGGAGATGTGGGAGAACAACTAGACTTCTCAAATATGACTGAACAGGAAATAGAATTCCATTATTTTAAGTACGTACATATACCTACACTCTACAAAATTATGTATACCTTGTCAATGAAAACCAACTCTGTAGCGATTTGAAACAACATTTTCGTTAGAGAAAATGTTTTCCCAGGCTTTAATAACGAAAAGTTAAAGTCTCGACGCAATTTCGTCATTCTTATTTTAGGTCTTACAATTAGTTAGGCCTGTGGAATCCACCCAATGGAAATGTACTGCATTTCTATTACTACCCTGTATAACAATTAGCTTTTAATTTTTAGCATTTGAATTTCAATATAACTTGTTTAAAATAAACAAAGACATAAGTACCTATAGAATCGTATCAGTTGGCACTAAAGTGACGTCGGCCCTGAAGGATTAATATTATTAATAATAATTTTAACGCTAATAAATTTATTAATTACAGACTATTATATATTGTATTAATTGTAGAGTGCACGATGTTGACAGTAATGCCAAGTTGGATGGACTAGAAATTCTTCATGCTATCCAGCATACGTTTCATGAAAATCGACTGGCTGACACCGAACACAAAACCTTGAATGATAAAACTAGGCAAACAAATTATGAAGATGACTTGCCATGGATGGTTGGTAGGTATATTCATTATACTGAAAATTCAATAGAATTTATACCATGTACCCAATAGATAGTAAAATTAGATTTACTACGACATAAATTGAAATAAGCAGTTAATTTTCAGTAACCTACGTCAACATAATGATTTTCACTAAAATGGGAAAAAATTGCAAAACTGAAGGGCCTGTATTTCTGAATGAAACAAATTCAAAACTCGAAAAATTATAACTTAAAACCCCCTAATTCCACGTGGACTACGTCATAGCCCATTTTGAACAAAATCCCAGGGAGTTCCTACTTCATCCCCACCACTGCGGAGGGAAAAATGTGTAACGTGCCAGCGCACAATTTATCCCCCCCCCCTTCCGCTTTTTTGCCAAGAGTCGAAGCTTCGGGCAAACAATAGATTTGTGAGATGTTCAAACGATTCGCGATGCACCGTGAAAGTTTGGAAACGGACCCGAGTTTCAAACTCTCCTAGAATCTTTACTGTACCTTATGTCTTAAAGAAGTAGGTGTGTACGCATTTTATACGTGCCAAATAATACTGATTTCTATTTTTTTGTTATTATCAAGAATTGATAGACAAAGTGTTTACGGAAGACGACCTAGATAACGACGGATATCTTGGATACATCGAATACGTACTTGGAAGACAAAGGGATCATGTTGCACAAGCGAAGAGGGATGACAATCTAAGAATTGGAGAATGAGGTTTTGCATGATATAAACTTGTCATTGACAAAATATGTGAAGTAAAATTTATCTAACGCAAATTTACCTCTACATAACATTTGTACGAACCAATAGTTTCGATTCTTTCAACTAAACAATATTCTTACAAACGAATTTTCTATATAGATGTATAAAATTACTTGTAATACAAATAAGTCATCTAAAAGATAAGTAGATTTATGTTCTAATTTCTGGTAATTAAAGAAAACATTTTTTCATAATTACTAAAAAATATACAATTATTCCAATGTACATAATGAACTCTCTGTCACAACAAGACATTTTTCCCATAGATCTTTAACTATTTGTATCTGGGAAACAAAAATAATCATATTATTTGGTTGGCTTGTAATAATTCTTGCCACATTCAGTAAACATACCTTGTTATCTTCACCATCAATTGGTAAGTCTTCTACAGACATATATTCAGGATATCGCAGTATTATTTCTTTTATTGCAGGTACAAATTGTTCACTGACTTCTAAAAATTGTAATTCATACTCATGATAGTCTTTAGAATTTTCACTTGAATAATATATCCTAAATGTGTCATCCTCATTAGTTAATCTATAAGTAATAAGTAATAAATATTAAACGGATATAATATTTTAACCTTTGAACTTATAATTCAGTGCATTAATATACACATATCTGTATAATTTATTTTAAGCGTGAATAATAATATACCTCATACTTATGAAATAATAGTACTGATTTTATACTATAAATATAAGGATTTTTTTATGAAATATGTATTTTGCATTTTTAAATTTAAATATAAAATGAATACCATATTTGAAACAATTTATGTAATATTGAATTTATAGACAATCTCTGAAATCATACCTTATACAATGAGAACGCAATAATCGTATTCTTGTGTCAGATTGTATTTCTACTTGATTTTCAACAACTCCATTTGCAGTCATTTTCTCACCATCTTGAACAACAGAACATTCTTGTTCAGTTTCCGAAAGAACAGGAGGTAAAAAATCATGAACATGACCTTTGACCATTAAATCTGCAGCTTTGTCTATGTCAATGTAGTCTATTAATTTTTTACACAGACTTTTTATTTTTTCTCTGAATTCGTCTTTGTTATTACTATGATTCTCAGAATGAACAAATCCACTGTGTCTTAAATAATCAAGAGGTAATCCTTTACGAAATTCACAATCAGTTTCTGTTGCAGTCTTTAATGCATCTGGAATTAACTTTTCTAAAAAGTCACCCCAACTATTTTTTTGATAAACACTCAATGTAATATGAAGACTATGAGTATCCATAGTTTCCCCCTGATGTATTGTTCCTCGTGGAAAGTATAACAAATCTCCTGCATTTAGAATTGTATCTAGTATAGGTTCACCAATCTCAGAGTCTATGAAATTTTCTGAAGAATACCTTGGCAAGTATTCATTTTCATTTCGTGGTTTGTACAGTCTCCACCGTTTTTTACCCTCCACTTGCAGTATAAAAGCTTCAATATCATCATAGTGAGGTGCAAAGCCCTGACTATTAGCAGGTGTTAAATAAGAATTTGCTCCAACAAAACAACCAAAAAATTCCTGAAGAGTAGCTAGAAATAGAAAATAGAATTTCTAGTTCCATTTTTTAGAAATCTTATCCTAAATCTAGTTTTATTAAGAAATTCACTTAAAGAGCAGTTAATTCTTGTAGGTTTTAAAATATACTGTTCGATCTACCATTTAATGAGTGTAATTTTGGTATATATGTTTGTGGATTTAACATTCTAACAGAACATCCATTCATGTAATAATCCCAAACAACACTTGGAACTGCACGACCATTGGGATTATGAGTTTCTCTAACACCATTCTCATACGATGTAATGTCAATATTTTTAGTGAAAAGAATGTAAGACTCCCGCAATATTTTATCAAGCATTGGGGTAGACATAAGTAATTTATAATAATTACTGCAATTCCGTTTTATATGAACAGGTGTTTGCTCCCAATTTTTTCTGTAAAATGTTAAGTATTCAACATTAAGAAGTACAAATACAAAAACTATATAATGAAACACAACCAGACCTGGGTACTTTTGAAATGGTATTATTTGAAATATTATTTCAAATAACATATTACTTTATCTTCTAATCATTTGAAATAATTCTTAGAAATAATTGTGAAATTTTTCTTCGAAATTATATCAGGTGACTAGGTCTGAGTTTGGTTTATGGGCATTTTTCTGAAGAGTAACACCCCTTTTCGTGATTCACGATTGTTTTTTTCTCGCAACAATATTAGATGGACCCAAACAAAAATCTTTCATGGATGAGCTTTTTGAAGAGTCGATTTCGAGAGCGGGATACTATATTGAGTGTTATTTCTTTTGCGAAATTCGAAATACAAAAATAACCAAATAATTTATTATTTGAAATGAATTAATATTTTCATTTTCAAATAACAGTATTGAAAATAAAGTTTCGAAATAATGTATTTCAAATAGTTATTTCTTATTTTCCATTTAAAATAAAATTTGCCCAGGTCTGAACACAACTGTGTTGAACTTACTCAAAAAAGTCATCTATTTTCAATGGATGTATTAACCATTCGAACATTGAACGACTTACATTCAAAGGATTTTCATGACATTTTTCAGTTGTTTTAGAGTCAGCATAAGTAAATTGTTGATCAACTCGTTTTGCTGATTTTCTGCTTTTATAATGTTTGGGCTGCTTTTGATTAATATATTTCATTTTTGCAATACCTGTATTTAATGTTAAAAGAGAATTCTTTAATCGGGTAACTATTATGTTTCTATCTTTTGTTTTATAAGTTGGGTTGTGAATTGGTTGATTTTTGTTCGAAATAGTAAGACGAGCAGCTTTCTTAGGGACATTATTTTTTTTCTTTGAAGTCCGAACTTTGTTTATAGAAGCTTTATTTGTTTCTTGAGAATTTCCATGTGTAGATGTTTGCTTTAATTTTTCTTGAATTTCATGTTTTACTTCATTTCTTGTTACTGCTCTCTTTTCTGGTGAGGTATGTTTTTTCTTCAATTTCTTTGACTTTAACAATAATTCTATATTTTTACGTTTCATTGCTTGAACAGCAAATGCTGATACTGGTTCGCGACATTTAAGCATCTGGAAAGAGAATATTATAAAACACTATGCTTCACAATGCATACCATATTGTTAAAATTAGCATTTAAGTAAAAAAAGGTACTAGCAGCACCTCACTGTTGCATTACAAATTCTTCAATTACAATATGTACGTACTCTAAACAAAAGAATTGTAAAAACTTTACAAAATTATATACAACTAAAGATAGAAATTATTGATGACACTATAACAATAAACAAATCATAAATGAATACAGAACATATACCACCGGCATATTTCGAGGTTACATATCCATTCTCCCTTTAAAATAGTAATGAGAGAATTTAGAAAAATTACCGTCAAAAATATGTGACATAAATTTTTTAAAGATTTCCCAAACGAATTCAATGTTTATAAAGCACTATTGTTATTAAAACTGTTTTAGCTTAAATTTATCATCACACGTGCTTCCAATATACATGAACATCGTAAATATCAATGACAATCAATCAGCGCAATACCCAATAATGTGTAAAACTTTTTAGAATGATATACAGCCATAGACATAAAAATATAGACTGCACATTTCCCTAAAACAGGCGCCCCCAGTCCCCAATAAGCTATAATTCAAGTGTGCGCATTTTTCGACACATAACGCATACTTCTATGTAGTCCCATGTAGTCGACGGATAAAACAAATTTTGCCAGTAGTGGCAATTTGAACTATGTAAGTTTTGTTTTCTGCTTCAGGAGGAGCGAAAATTGGCGAAAGTGGTCTGTTGCTGCGTGCCTATTAATTTCACAAGTTCTTCGAGTAGAGTAAAACTGTATATTTTACCGAAGGAGAAAGAGGTAAGATAATATATTTAAAGCCAGTTTTTGTAATTTCATTCATATTACAAATTGTCCCCAAATAATAACGAAGGGTCATTCAACGTGAAGTCAGACACTTTTCGGGTAATATTTCAGAATTTGTTGTAAATTGCATATACTGTAGTCTTTATTAAAAATTGGCGCTATTTCTGAGCAATCTTTTGACTGCCTTGGACATCCTGTTCCGTTCCCACTGTGGCGGTTTTACTTTTTCTTTTCAATTATTTTATAATATAACTTTGTAATCACACGATAAAATAAAAGGTTGGAAAATATTAATTTGTGAAGCATTTAACAAGAAGAAAATAAATGCTTTCCACTTCAATATTTTTATTTGTTTATATATACACAAATTATTCTTGCAATTAAATGTTGTTCTTAGAACCCTACTCATCACTACCCTAAACATTCGTACAAAAATCTATTAGATTTAACTATAATAGTTTGGAATTTTCTTTATTGTCCAAAATTTGGACGGTAATGAACGGATACGCGAAATATATCATTAACAAAAAAAAACGAATTTGAAATATGCTTTGCCAATTAATATTTGTTAACTTCTCATTTAAACTAAACTGAGAGGTTACAAGTAAAGCGAACAAATTTTAAAAGATTGAAGATAGATTTATAACGTTATATTTTAATCTATATAATAGATTTTTGTACGAATGTTCGGAGTAGTAATGAGTAGGGTTGTAAGGATAACATCTAATTGTAAAAATAATTCATGCATATACAACATAATATGTATGTATATTACACAAAACTTTAATATTGAAATAGAAACATTTATTTTCTTCTTTTTAAATGCGTCACAAATTAATAGTTTTCAAGTTTGTATTTTACTGAGAGGTTACAAAGAGAAATTACAAAATAATTAAGAATAAAAAGTAAAATCGCGGTATTAGGATCCGAGTAAGGTCTCCTGGCTGTCTCCTGGCTTACGCGCTTAGGTTGCCGGGCGTCGCGTCGAAACGGTTTGGATTGTGACGAAAATATGACTTTGCCGTAGTGAGCAGGTAAGCAGTGATATTCGAACAGGGTCGTCTCCACTGTCTCCAGGTTTCCTCATTGTTTACGTTGCCGAGTGATGTACCGAATTTCAACGAAAAGACCCGAACGGGCAACGCACACAACAGGGTTAGGATATGCTTGTGTGTACCAACACCAACACGGTGGAAATAAAATGGGAGACGACGGTAGGTCATAGTGGGGATACCAATTTCACATTTCCGGCATCACTGATTGGAGCACAAAACTGAGCAATATTCAGTGTGCGCTGAGACGTCACCGCAGTTGGATGGGAAGTGACAGTTAAGTTGTGTGCCGCGATACGAAGAGAGTGGGAGAGAGAGAAAGAAAGGGTCGGCTTTCGGTCAGTAGTGCATTGTGTAAACACGTGTGCGTGCGCGACTTGTCCCTGGTGCTCTAGAAATTGTGCAGAACGTCCGGGAAGATCGCGGAATATTATAAATTTCATTTATCATAAGAAAATTGCCGATATTTTTATGTTGCTCACGACATTCCTAAGTGATCTATATACTAACTGGACACCTTCGAAAGTCTCTTTGCGCAACACGTGTCACGTTACCAGAATTTAAATTTCGTAAGTACTTGTACCGTTTGCAGTAACTAGTGTAATTGTTCTTTTGTCGTTACCTAGGTAACCTTTTCTCACTAAAATCGGGTATACCCCGAAAAAATAGTTATGTATATAAGTAGTTTTCAATTTTATGGCCATAACTAAAATTATGAAGTGTTGACTGGAAATATAGAATGATTCAAAAAAATATTATATTACCGCCAAAATTTAAATACGTCAAAAAAGAAGAAAAAATAGGAATATCGTAATATTTAGATTATTTATGTATATCCCAAGTATACTCACACAGTGTTGTGAATTTTTTAAAGTTGTGTATCACTATATCAAAATAGAGAAATAAAACCATACATAATATTCCATGCATAAATAAAAATGCTTTGGAAATTATATAGAACGGGGTACACCGCGCCGATTTCAATGGCCTTGGTATATGTTATAAAGGTCAATGTCCTGAGTAATTCTATATACTTATACATATAATCGCCGTTCAGTGATAGTTTGAAAAATGTACACAAACATATTTTTAACAGAATGAGTTTTATTGTTTCAAGGTGTTCCATAGCCTACAGCTTGAATATTGTCATATGTCATGTACCGTAAGATTAAGGGCATAGTCTCCGGGAATCACTCAATGTTTGTTTGTGTTTTTCGTATTTCGTGATAATTATTTACCTATATAAAGTTCAAATATTTGTAATGTTTATTTCGTGTTTCGATTTTAGTGAGTGAGATGTACCTGTTCACTACACAGAAACATTTTATGTTATAAAACAATAATAAAAACAATAAAAAAATCACCATTATGCATACATAGATAAATTTTTGTTTCGACGGCAATACGACCTTGATAGTCGAATAAACATTTTTTTTATGAAAAACCTGGAATGTTCATAATTTGTTAATAGTAAGAAATTTAATATTTATGTTACACTGTGTAAATCATTACTGCTGGTACCACAGCTATGTACTGAGGAAAACCTACAAACAAACACTACGTGGTATTAAAAATACTTTCATGTACAATATTGTTTAAACCAAAGCTGAGTGGCGGTTGTATGTATAGGTACAGTTTCCCATTTGAATCTTTACGTGCAATTATCTCCTGAAATGTTAGTTATTCCAAAAAATGTATCGAGTAGAAGTTACTTTGTTTCGAGGGGGACATCTTGTCACAAATCTTATCTAGATGGACGTGCCTCCGAGATTTCAAGGTGATCTTTGTTTTTTTTTAAACAGATCTACCTATATGTTTTCATTTAGGCAGGTGTGTAGCCCATTTCATTACGAATTTATTGCTCTATGATCTTGGTCTTTCAAGGTCAGTTATTGCCATTGAAGAGTTACCTTTGTTGCTCGTCCCCAAGATTTCTTTTGCCGAAATATTTCGTCAATTCATTACTTTTCTAATTTTGGAATGGTGAATGACCTTGGCCGACTAACATATGTATTAGAGGTCAATTAATTTATCACGAACTAAGCTACAAGTCTAGGTAAATGAAAACATATAGGTCCATTTAAAAAAACAAAGGTCGCATTGAAATCTCGGAGGCACGTCCAGCTAGATAACATTTCTGACCATCATAAGATGTCTCCCTCAAAACAAAGTAAATTCTATTTGACACATTTTTTAGAATAACGAACAGTTCGGGGGATAATTGCGTGTAAATGTTCAAATGGGACACCTTGTATATAAAGCCACTGAGGACATTGATCTTTGCAACATACAAGGTCACTGAAATCTACGAGATTACCCAGTTTCTATATGATTGGCAATGTTCTAATCACTATGACAAGTTGATATCTAAATGTTTGTGACTCGACTGCAGTAATGTCCCACTATACGGTAGACCAAATTGGTACAAGATATAGTACGATATGACTCACACATCATAAAGAACCGAAATTTGAAGAGGAAGGGGAGGTGGGGAGAACCCTAAATATAAAGTTTTAGCTGCGGGTCTTGATTAGTTTCTGAGATACTAACCAGCTCAGATCAGTATAATGCTTTGTACAATATTCTTTTGTTTATCAACTAGCTCAAACCAACACAATGCTTTAAAAGTAAAAAAGAAACTAAGCGTACACGTAATAGTATTTATTTGGGCTTTACACGCACTTGTAAATGCATGTAATGTAATCTAATTACAAAATTCAAATGAAAGTACAATATAATTGCAAGACAATTATAATTATATTCTAATTAACTGTATTAAAGGGTATAGCAGGATCAGGGGGTCAAAAGTGCCCTTAGACCGATTGGACTTGTAATATAGCATTTGATAGCTTGTCAAGAAGAAACAGTTCATGCCAAGTTTCAACCCTCTATCTCGACCAGGAGGGTAGTAATATGGAAAATACGGATTATCGGTTTTTCCTCTATTTTCCCTGTTTAATGACGCGCAAAAATTCTGTACAAAATCTGATAGATAGTATTTATCGGGGCGCGTGTTGCAGAGTTTTTTGCGATTTTTTAATTGAGTATCCTAGTTGTGAAAAATAAAAAATGATGACAAATACAGAACAAAAGCGTGCAAAAAGTTGAGGAAACTACTTATGATAACACCTTGAAGGTTTTGTTAATACAAAGATCATGTATATATTTAGTATCGAAAAATACAAATAATCCTATCATTACTAGGGCACATGAAAGGAGAAGCAGCGAAATAAGAAAGAAGACTATGGACGTTAAACAATCACATTTGCTACAATCTACCCACAATGATTGAAGATAAAGGCTTTTAAAACTAAACTCCCTATATTCATTTAACGTAAAAAATTACAAACAAGCCCGTAAAGGAAAAGATATGTAGGTAGAGGAACGATGCGATGAAAATTGCTCTAAAATTAGTTTTGTACACATTTTGGAATAAAATTATTTTAAACTATTTTTAAAGTGCTTTTAAATAAATACTGGTCATTGTCATTTAGCTAGAAAGTAAAAGATATATAATTAATGTAATTAAAAAAAAATGAGTCCACCTTGGCTTGAACACGCGGTCAAGTTAGCAGCGCTTTTGCAGACGGGCACTTAATCGCTGCGACCGAAAGTCCCACTATTCACCGAGCAGTAATCACAGCAACGACGAGCCCCGATAGAGTGACGCCATGTCCATCGTATATCACCCCGGCCCTTAACACTACAACTACCGATGATTATTTAAATATATACTTGTTTGTATTAACCCTTTGCGGACGGGACGGATTGAAACCTATTGTACCGTGGAATTGAGCTGTTGTCACGATATACATATATACGTATAAGATATGTCGCTGACGCATATGTATATGGGTTCATTGGCCGCAGCGATGTGTTTACGTGGGACACATATATGAGTCTTTCGGCTCTATCAATTGTTTTCACCAAACGCATGATATACAGTGACTCCCAAAAATATTCGAACACACCGGTACGACTAACTTTACGGTTGATGTTTCAATTGTTTACAAATCAATTGACCTAGGTGTATTTTTTGTAATAATACGTCATTTATCCTCCGTCACTTTGGCACGAAAGCCTCTCGCTCAGACGCTCGGTAAACCAACTTCCTTCTTTACCCTGCGATTTCCACGTGTAGCGTTTAATAACCTACGTATTAATTTAATCCTCTTTTAATATGTTGCTCAATATTTGGGTACAATACATTCTTTCAAAAGAAATAAACTTTTTCTTATTCATGTATGTTAACTCTTGACGTGTGAAAACATTCAGCGTCTCTTCAACATTCTCCGCCATTTCCAGACAATGGATGATTGACGGGCGCGTGCCGAACGTAGTCTCCACTACTTGAGATTGTAGGTAGGTCCTTCTCGAGAGGTTCGTAATATGTGCGATGGAGACAGACGACCGTAGACGAGGACGCACGTCGACGGTCGAACGTTATTGGCCAAGACGCGAAGAGTGAGAGAGACACAAGCACCGAAGACCTGTCGCAATCGCGACAACACCGCGAAAAGTCGGGCCTACCTTCCAGGGTTCTTCTTTCGAAAAACAGACCATAGCTCCATACAAGGTGTATCTGCCGTCGTTGGCGATGCGTGGTAACCCTTCCCTCACCAGGGAGGACGTGGCGGATAAGCTTCCCCTCCGGGACGTCGGTGCCCAGGACTTGGCGCATCGGAATCCAGGCCCCGTTGGCGGTGGTGGCCAGCGTCATCGGCTCGGACACCGTGGGCGGGTTTCCACGATTGGTGACGACCGGCGGGGCTGGCTCCAGGTCCGTCTGAGTAGCCAGGTCCGCCGGTGACCCTTCGGGACCTCGTGGTGGTGGATGCTCCGCTGGAACTGGTTGTGGGCTGGCTCAGGCGGCCAGGTGGCCCTTCCGTGAGGCTAGCGACCTCTGGGGCGTTCCGGGCTGGATGGGCTGTAGCTCGGGTATGTCCATTTCCGGGGTGCGTGTCCGGTAATGGCGGGATGGCCAGGAACCCTCTTCTCGTTCGGGGATGTCTCCTAATAGTTTGCGCATCCGCTAGCAGAGGCCTTCGGCCCGACGCTGCTGCTCCTTGTTCGCTTCCACTCCCGGACTTTCTGGCAGAGAGAATCGTGCCATCGGTACGCGGTACTAGTGTCAGGGCCGTTGACGTTTTCCAGTTGGCGGGACAGGGCGTCGGCTATCAGATTCGTAGGGCCCTTGCGGTACCGTATTTCGAAGTCATATTGCCGCAGAATATAAACGGTCTGGCGTAGTCGGGGCAGGTAGGAACTGGCGCCGTCGCCAATTGGTCCTGGAGCGTCTGGAAGGCGGTGTCCTCTGTGGGGCCCCACGACTATTTCTGCCGATTCTTGAGGAGCGTCGCCAGAGTGCTATTCCACGGATTGCCGGTACCTTGGCGGGGTTGGTCCGCATCCCTTCCGGTGTCACCACGTGCTCTAAACATTTTAGTTCTCTCTGGCAGAAGCTGCACTTATCCGGGTTAATTTTCAAGTTGGCCTTCCTCAGTCGGCGGATCACCTCTCGCAGGTTATCGTGTTGTTTCTCGAAGGTCCGTTTCAGGACGATGATGTC